AAGAGCGTATTGTTACATTCCAGGGTGGAGCAAGAGCTGGCTTGGAGAGTAGGGTGGAGGGCTTTAGTCTCACCGCTTACATGTGGTCTCCTTTAATGCTTTCCAACCCTCCCACTCACCACCCTGAATAAACATTTCACCCAAGTTTAAAAAAAAAGTGCTCTTATGCAAACACTGACTGAAAATAAGTGCCCTGGGCATCACCCTTCCTGCAACCAAATTCTTTTCTAAAGACCTTCAACTCCTAGAGATGAAGTCACTGATCCAGGATTGCAGGCATTTAAGCCCAACTTGGAAATCCCAAAATCCTTGCTGCTTCCATGCAGGACTGAAGGGTAGCAAGACCTGAAAATAATTTAGAGAACAGGAAGAAAGGTGCTGAGTGTGCCACTCCTGAAATTAAGGTGCCACAGATGCTCAGAAGAGCATGGTACTTACTCTGCTTGATGTAGCAAAATAGGACCAGCAGATATTTGCTAATGGAACATTCCTATGTGTGGAATTAACCCCCAGACATTTATGGTTCCATTTTCATTAAGTGTGACCCACCCACTACTTTTGTTTCCCCTGTCACCTTTGCCTTGATTTAACCATGAATAGGGCGTGACCTTACTTTCTGCTCCTTTTTGCAGTCAGTTTGGTTTCTGCTTAAAGGTGGGGGAGAAGAAGCGCAGCTGCATACTGCCACACGCCCATCTTAAAGCTCAGGGGAGGAGTGTTTTTGAAATTATTTTTAAAACTTCATATAATGACATGTCATTGGGACTTTTAAAAAGCTTTGTTGTTGACATAGTCTATATACATTACTGATCCAGCTTCTCATATCTTGTTTCCAAATAATCATCTGAACTTGGGGAGTTTCTTATACTTCATATTTTGGAGATAAAAGTAGTGTATAATAGTAATAGTAATAATACTAATATTAGCCAGCATCTGTTGAGCACTCACCATGTGCCAGACACTGTTCTAAAGCCCTTCACGGCAATCTTACGAAGTGAATTCTAACCTTCTCCCCATTTTATAGCTGGGACAACTGAGCCCCAGAGAGGGGTCATTTACTTGCCTAGCATCGCACAGTTTGCAAGCGATAGAGCCAAACAATCTGAACACAAGGTCTAGAACCCACCTTGAACCCTGTGCTAGCACTCAGTTTTTCAAATTTGAGGGTGCATGTGCATGAGAATTACCTAGAGGGCTCATTAATACACAGACTACTGGGGCAAAGCCCCAAAGTTTCTGAGTCAGTGGGCCAGGAATTTGCATTTCTAAAAAGTTTCCAGGTGAGACTGATGCCACAGTTCAAGAACCCTTGCTGTGTTAAAAAAGTAACAGGCCCAAAATGGAATCACTTGTGCTAAGCCCCACGGCAGCAAAATAGAACTTAACATCTAATTTCAGTTTCAGCCTCTCCTAGGGGTGGAATTTTAATTCCAATCAGTCAGGAATTTCCCAATCAGCCCTAGTGAAGTAATCGGCTTGATAGGACCACCCTCCTAATCTTTCCCAGAAAGGAAGGTGACCTTACCGGAAGTAATCCTTTCTTTTTCTGACTTCCTTGTCTTATCCCTCCTTTCTGCCTTTAAAAACCTTTCATTTTGTACAGCTCCTCAGAGCTCCTTTCTACTTGCTAGATGCAAGGCTGCCGGATTCATGAATCGTTAAACAAAGCCAGTTAGTTCTTCAAATTCTCTCAGTTGAATTTTGTTTCTTAACAACTATAGCTCATCATTGTTTCTATAATTTCCGAATGCAGAGAGGAGGGCCATGGTTACCTACCAGCAGATTGTCCAGCTCTATGAGAAGTCTAAGAGTCAAGATCATTAACACTTTATAATAATAGCCAGTGTCCACTGGTGCTTGTGATGTGCTAGACACTGGACGAGACACTTTTCAGGCATTATCTAATCCTCACACCAGTGTTCAGGAGTATTTTATTTCCCCCAGTTGACTGTAGGGAAATGGGGATTTGGGGAGTTTAGGGAACTTGCTTAAATTTATGTACCAGCAAGTAGCAGTTGTGAGGTTCTACTTAACTACTTAACATGTGGACTACTTAACTCCACAGCCCTGCTGACCTCCACACGACAGACAGTCTTTGCACATAGTAGATGCCCAGTAAGTAAACTGTTAAATGAATGAACAAAAGAATCTTTGGGTTTTTTTTTTTATATCAAAAGCCTAGTTACTCAGTGGAAGGACATTTTGACATTTTAAAAGTGTGGTTTACTAGGTTTCACTGTGTAACAAAGGGGTATAAAGCACGGAGGAAGGAAGGAATATATGGTGCCTTAGAGGGTGAATTTCTAGAGAAATTTCAAAGCAGAAGGAACTTTTAAAAAGAACCATGGTGCAGAAGAGATTTATACCAGCAGTGGAGGCTGGGGATCCTGAAGAAGGTAGGAAGAAAGAAGGGAGAGGGAGGGAGGAAGGAAGAAAGAGAAAGAAGGAAGGAAAGCAAGAAAAAGAAAAAGAAAGAGAAAGAGAAAAAGAAAGAAAAGAAAAAAGAAAAGAAAGAGAAATGCAGCAATATTAAATTCTTCCGGATACCATTGTCCTGTGAAGTCTACATTCCAACAATGATGTCTCAACAGCACTGAGATATCATCTGCTTATCATAAAATTAACCCATTTAAATTGTACAATTCGGTGGTTTTCAGTATATTCACAGAATTGTGCAACTATCACCACAGTCTAATTTTGGAACATTTTCACTACCCCAAAAAGAAGCCCAGTTGGCATTAACAGTCACTCCCCATCCGCCCTCCCCCAGCTCTAGACAACCGCGAATCTACTTTCTGTCTCTAGGATTTGCTGTTCTGCACATTTCATGTAAATGGAATCAGACAATAGGTGGCCTTTGTGGCTGGCTTCTTTCACTGGGTAAAACGTTTTCAAGATTGATCCACATTGTTAGCACATGTCAGCGCTTCATTCCTCCCCTCCCCACCAGCACTTTGTTGAGGTATAATTTACCTAAAGGAAATGCACACGTTTAGCATACAGCTCCACAACATCTCAGCAATGTATACACTCGTGTTACCTCCACCAAGGTCAAGATACAGTATTTTCATCACCCCAGAGAGTCTCCTCATGCATTAAAGAAATGTATTTTACCATCTTAATCATTTTTTAGTGTACAGTTAAATAATGTTAAGTATATTCACATTGTTTCTCAACCAATCTCCAGAGCTTTTTCACTTGCAGAACTGAAACTCCATACCTTCCTTCCCCCAGCCCCTAGCAACCACCATTCCACTTTCTGTTTCTATGAGTTTATGTGCTAGATATTTCATAAGTGAAATATATCGTTTATCGTTTTGTGACTTTTTTTTCACTTAGCATAATGTTCTCAACGTTCTGTTGTAGGGCGTGTCAGATTTTCCTTCCTTTTTAAGGCTGATTCATATTCCATTATATGTTTATCTGCAGAATGCCTTCTCATTTTCAAAGCAGTGATTTTTGTCTTGTTACTCCTCTCATAGACAAGCTCAGTGTTTGTTGGAGATGAGAACGAGGAATACCCGCTAAGGTTTTTGGAGCAGTGCCTACGTGCTTTTTATCAAACGCAGTATCTCACGATCTCATATATCCCTCACAGCGACCCTGCCTCGTACTGTTATTTACAGAGGGGTAGACTGAGGCTGGGAAGTTATGTAACTTGCCAAGGCCACACACTGGCCAGGTGGAGGCGCCGGCCGGGAGGACAGCGCAGGGGTGGTCAGCTCTGCGCAACCCAGGCCTCCGCCGCGCTGCCACCGACTGCTGTTTTCTGCTTTGCGGCAAGATTCAGAAAATACCCTCAGAGACCGGATCTGCCTCCATGTAGCATGCAAATTCTATGGCTGGAAGGCTTGAGCGTGAAAGGGAAAAGTTATGTTCTTTAGCCTCTTTCCCAGACTCGCGGTGGAAACTCCGCCCCCGTCTCCGCGGAAACCCGGCGTCTGTCGCTGCTGTCACCGCGCGCGGAGCGCGGGGCCGTGCCCCTCCCCGGGTTTGCAGCAGCTGCCAGGCCGGGAGCGATCGCCATCACCCCTGAACCTCTCCGTTCCTCTTCTCGGCCCCCTCCCTCTCTGTTGTCCTTTCGTGCCCCAGACCACATCCTGGAGTCCGCGCTCCCGCACGGGCCTCAGCTGGGACCGTGCACTCGGCGTCCAGCCCTGAAAGCCGCCGTGTGTGGCCTCCTTGTCCCCCCGGGCCCACCCCTGGGCTGCGCCGATTGGCCGCTCCTGGGCCGTCCCCCCGCCCTGGGCAGGCAGCGTCCTCTGCCCAGCGGAAAGTTTTCCGTGCCGGGAGGAAGTTGGTTGTTTGGAGAGTCCGAGAAAGCAGCTCCAGGGGCTGCAGGGGTCTGGGCGGCCATGGAGGAGCCCCCTTTGCGAGAGGAGGAGGAGGAGGAGGAGGGGGACGAGGAGGAGGAGGAGGGGGAAGAGGCTGGGCCCGAGGGAGCTCTGGGCAAGAGCCCCTTCCAGCTGACCGCCGAGGACGTGTATGACATCTCCTATGTGATGGGCCGCGAGCTGATGGCCCTGGGCAGCGACCCGCGGGTGACACAGCTGCAGTTCAAGATCGTCCGCGTCCTGGAGATGCTGGAGACGCTGGTGAACGAGGGCAACCTGACGGTGGAGGAGCTGAGAATGGAGCGGGACAGCCTCAGGAAGGAGGTGGAGGGGCTGCGGAGAGAGGGCCCGGCGGCCGGCCGGGAGGTGAGTGTGGGAGACAGGGGATCGGCCCAGAGCAGCCCTGAGATGCTGGGGGAGAGCGCCCACTGGCAGGGAGGCCGCGTTCCTCTCTTGAATATCCAAGCCCCTCAAAGCAAACGGCTGTGAGTATCCAGGGCTCAGATTAGAAGCGTTATGATGGTTAACATTAACTGAGCACTTACTAGGTACTGGGCCCTGTGCCGAGTGTTGTTTTAATCAGCAGCTTCCAGCACTTTTGACCCGGACCTTGAGCAGTGGGTCCCAAGCTTTAGCATGCGTCAAAATCATCTTGATGTTCCTTAAAACACGGATTGCCCAGCCCCAACCCTAGAGCTTCTGATTCAGTGGGTCTGGAATGGGACCTGAGACCGCATTTCTCACAGGTTCCCAGGTGCTGCTGATATTATTGGTCCGGGTATTTCATACTTTGATCATCTTTGACCTAGAGTAGGAAATACATTTTAATTAAAGAGAAATTAGTGCTTATGACCACATAAAGACACATACAAGAATATTCAGAGCAGCTTTATTCATAATGGTGCTGAACTGGAAATAATCCAAGTGGAACAGCAGAACGGACATTTTTTTATTGTAGTATATTCATACAATGGAATACTACACAGCAATGAAAGAGATTAGAGTACTGATACACACAACTGCTGTATGGATGAATCACACAGATGTTACACTGAGAGACAGAAGCCAGGTACAAAAGAGAGCCTACTGAATGTGAAATCCAAGAACAGGCAAAATAATCTTTCCCTATAGAAGACAGGTTGATGGTAACCCCCAGGAGGGGGAGGGTGGTGGAGAGCAGGAGGGAAATTTATCGGGAGCTAATCTGGTTGTGGTTACATGGGTAAAAAATCATCAAGCTCTAAACTCAAGATTAGTGCATGTTTCTGTATGTTATACCTCCATTTTACAAAAGTACATTTTACGTTTCTGTCCAGTATTAATAAAAGTTTCAAGAAGCAGTTTACCCTAACCCACCGTTGCTAAACGTGATGTACAGTCATACTTTCCATTCTATTTTTTAAATTATTTTGCCAGTCACTAAATTAATATCATGACTCACTAGTGGGTCTCCAGCTACAGTTTATTAAAAAAAAATTGCTGTAGGTGGATTATCTCATTTAATCCTCACACTTATTATACCCATTTTACAGAAATGGAGGCATGGAACAGTTAAGTAATTTGCCTAAGGACTTATAGCAAGTCAAAGGTGGAAGTAGAATGTGAGCTCAGAGATGCTAGTTTCAACCACACTGAACTAGAACACAGAACTATGACCTTGCTTGTGGTAACATTTGCTTACAAACTGAGAAATATGCCGTGAAAGGACAACAGGAACAGGGTGGCTGAAATTCGCAGGAAGAGTGAAGGTTTCCGGTAGCTTCCTTGTTACACTTATTTCATGTACTCATTAGTCACGGTGAGAATTATATTTGTAGATGAGGTTGTGCTTAAGTGTCCATCATGTGAGGTAGTCAAGTATCATGATTAGTAGCCTGGCTTTTGAGATGCAAGAGCAGTTAAATGACTTGCCCAAGATCCGTGAGCTCACTTTCTGTGCTCTCTTCCTGTCCCCTCCTACTTTGGGCACAAGGATACAGGAGGAAGCCCCATCATGGACCATGCACAGTGTGGTCTGCACGGGGGCCACATCATTTCCTGTTTGGGGCACAGTGGCCAAGCTTCATCAGCCAGCAGATGAGATGGCACATTTTTCTCCCAAACTGTGTCTTAAGAACCGGAGTGGGGAAAAAGGCAGAGAGAATGAATGTTTACTGCTACTCGACAGTTCATAAAAATATGCCCTGTTCTTTTTTCTTTTCTTTTTAGTTTTTTAACTATTATTTTTAGTTGTGCTAAAGTAGAGATAAAATTTACTATCTTAACCATTTTAATTTATTTATTGTTATTGTTTGTTTTGGGGGGGAGGTAATTAGGTTTATTTAGTTCTTTTAATGGAGGTGCTGGGGATTGAACCCAGGACGTCATGCATGCTAAGCATGCACTCTACCACTGAACTATACCCTCCCTCTCCCCCTTAACCATTTTTAAGTGCACAATTCAGTGGCATTAAGTACATTCACACTATTAGGCAACCATCACCACCATCCTCTCCCGAACTCTTTTTATCTTGCACAAATGAGACTCTGTGACCCACTAAACACTAACTCCCCGCTCCCCCAAGCCTCTGGTAACTACTGTTCTTTCTGTCTGTGTGAATTTATCTGTTCCAGGGACTTCATATAAGTAGAATCACATAATCTTTGCCCTTTTGCCCCTGGCTTATTTCACTTAATGTCCTCAAGGTTCACCCGTGTTGTGGCTTGTGTCAGAATCTCCTTCCTTTTTAAGGCTGAATAATATTCCATTGTTTGGATTGCCTCACGGTTTGTTCACACTTGCGTTGCTTCCTCCCCTTCACTAGTGTGAATAATGCTGCTAAGAACATGGATCTATAAATATCTCTTCAAGTTCCTGCTTTCAGTGCTTTTGGTTACATACCCCGAAGTGGAATTGCTGCATCATATGATGATTCTATTTTTAATTTTTAAAGGATCTGCTGTACAGTTTTTCATAGTAACTATACCATTTCACATTCCTACCAACAGTGCACAAGAATTCCAGTTTTTCCACATCCTCACCAACACTTATTATTTTCTGTTCTGTTTGTTGGATTACAGTAGCCATCCTCGTGGGTATAAGGTAGTTTTTTTTCCTTTCTTTTTTAAAAATTTAAGTTCAAAATTCAAAAGTTACAGAAGTGTTTGCTTTGGAAAATCTCCCTCCCCATCTCTCTCCACCCCCAGCCACCCACTTCCCCTCCCTGGAAAAAAATTTAAATGATCAGTTTCTTAAAGTATCCAGAGATGCTGTATGCAAACACAGCAGATATGAATATATTTCTCCACTGTTCAGATAAATGGTATTATAATATATACCCTGTTCTGCCTCTTGCTAATCTTCACTTAACATAGCATGAAAATTGTACTAAGTCAGCATATAAAGCACTTCCTCATCTTTTAATGGCTTTTGAAAACTTCTGTTGTACAGTGTTATCAACTGTTCAGACAGAGTGTTCTTAACTTGGAATTTCTGGAAGCTCCTCAGGGGGGGTCATGATTCTAGCCTAAGAGGTCCATGAACTTGCATGGGGAAAAGGTATATATTTTTCTCACCAACCTCCAACTAAAATGTATTACTTTCTTCAGTTATGAGTGTAGACAACAAACCACTGATGACCTGTGACAGTCATCAGTGTCACAATCAACAATGTCACAGTGGAAATCACAGATATTTTCACATCCCATTACAATGTAGTACAGATCCCAGTACGTTGTTTTTGTTCAGTATTTTATTAGACCTGTGGCTACATTGTGTTATTTAATAAAGGAGCAGGTATATTCATCATCATTTTGTTTTTAGAAGATTTTGATGAATGTGTGTTATCTTAGTTGGTTTCCTTGTAATCCTATGCCTTTCATTTTATACATTTAAAATCGTTGTTCTGAGATGGAATCTTCATGGGCATTACCGGGCTGCCGAAAGGATCCATGGCACATGCGTGCGCACGCGCACGCACACACACAAGGTTAAGAATCTCTGCTTTAACCAGTTTCCTATCAAAATGCCTTTATTTTCCAATTATTTGCACTTAATCCATGCAACAACGAATTACTCTGACATATATCAGTTGACCCCTGAGGAAGAGCGTCTTGAGGAAACAGATTCACTGGGGTGAAGGAAAGCCGCATTTGAAATTTTAACGAGTCTTGCCAAATTGTACACGAAGGAGATTAAAGAGATTGGCTCCCTGTGCCATTGGTGAAGGTGCCCGTTTCCCCGCAGCGTTTACAACACGCTGATGTCTGTCAGTCCCACAGGAAGCATGTGGTCACTATTGCATCTGTCTTTATGGTGTGCCTTATTCTGTCACCTGTGGAATATTCCAGAGTCTGGTGGTGCCTTAGTTTGTTTAACTAGGCTTCTGTTAATGGATATTTAGATTGTTTTTTAAATATTTGCTTTTATTTTAATTTTAGCTTGAAAAAAACGTTAAACCTCTGGAAGAGTTGAAAGATAAGTACAATGAACATCTGTAAACCTTTCACCTTGATTAAGGTGTTGGGTTCAGGTGTGTGTGTATATGTGCGTGTGTGTGTGCAGTATGTCTTAAGAGATACACACTCAAGTATTTATACACACATATATAACAGATGTTTATGTATATATATTATTTATTCACTTAAAATTTGCTCACCTCTTTGAGCAGACGTTATTTTTGCTGCAGGATTAATAAAAGATTAGGATCCTTCCCCCTAAATACGAAGTACTTCATTGTGTGTCTCCTAAGACATCCTGTTACATAAGCACAATAAGCGATCAAATTTGGGAGAAAATGTTGGCAGCACACTAAGCTCTAATACGCCATTCCTATTCAAATTGGAAATAATGTCCTTTATAAAGTTGTCTTTTCCTGATGCGGGATCCAGTCCAGGGTTATACGGTACCTTTAGGACACATGTCTTCAGTCACCTTTAGTCTGGAACAGTTTCCCTGCTTTTCCTTGTCTTTCATGTCCTTGGCGTTTCTGAAGATTGTATATTACCTGGTCTGTAGAATGTCCTTCAATTTGGGATTGTCCTGATATTTCCCCATGGTTAAATTCAGGTTATACATGTTGACAGGGATACCTTAACTGATGCTGTGTCCTCAGTGCCTTGTCCCAGGAGGCACCTGATTCAGTCTGTCATTATTGGCGACGGTAACTTCCATCACCTGGTTAAGCTGGTGTCTGCACGATTTCTATGCCATGAGGGTTCCTTTGTTCCCTGTCTGATGCATCAGCAGCCTGTGAGGAAATACACTGAAACTGTGTAAACTGTCCTGTTCCCCAACAAACCTTCACCCAAAGGTTTTAAATCCATTCATTAGTCTCGCCTGAATCAATTATTACTAAGTTGGTTGCAAAATGATGATTTTTTTAACTCTGTCATCTTCTACACTTGTTAAATGGCATTCCGATGTAAAGTTCCGATTCCCCTCCTCCCCGCGCTCCCATATTAGAGTTCTCCAGAGAAACAGAATAATAGGAGATACATAGATGAGAATATTTACTATAGGCATTGGCTCATGCGGGTACAAAAGCTGAGAAGTCCCACAATCTGCTGTTTGCAGGCTGAAGAATCAGAAAGCCGGTGGTGTAATCCAGTGCAAATTGGAAGGCTTGCAAACTGGGGAGCTGTTGATGTAAGTCCTGGTTTGGGTCCAAAATCCCAATAACCAGGAGTGTCAGTGTCCAATGTCCAAGGGCAGGAGAAGAAGGATGTCCTGGCTCAGAGAGTGAATTCACCCTCTCCCCACCTCTGTGTTCTATTCAGGCCCTCAATGGCTTGGGCGATGCCCATACACACTGGGGAGGGCCCTCTGCTGAACTCAGTTCACCAATTCAAATGTTAATCTCTTCCAGAAACACCTTCACAGACAACCCAGAAAAGACATTTAACCAACTATCTGGGCATCCCTTAGCCCAGTCAAGGGGACACATAAAATTAGCCGTTACATCCCCCTTAATTAGTTAATTAATTTAAATACAAACATTTTAATTATGGATTCCCAAATTCTCCTTTTATTTGATGGGTTATTATCCAGTCATGTTATTATTCATTTTGATTCTCAGATTGTTCAGTTTGGCCAGCAGGGACGCCTTCAAACTGATCTGTCTTCATCTTTTACACAATGAAATGTTCCAGGCTCCTCTTGGATTTTCCCCGTTCCAGCCCTGGACTCAGCCATTCTCCAAGGAGTGCCGGTTTCTTTCTTGGAGAATGGTGCTTAGAGCTCTTCTTACTACCAGCCAAACCCTTCCAGCAGGCAACATCTCATCTCCCAGCGTCCCTGGGAGTGACAGAACAAGAGAAATTTCCTTCCTGGGATGGACAGTCCGTCCAAACAAGGGACGTTGTCTAAGCAACGTCTTTTCTCACAGGTCAACCTGGGACCAGACAAAATGGTGGTGGACCTGACAGACCCCAACCGACCACGCTTCACCCTGCAGGAGCTGAGGGACGTGCTACAGGAGCGCAACAAACTCAAGTCGCAGCTGCTGGTGGCACAGAAGAGCTGCAGTGCTACAAGAGGTGGGGCTGCCTGCCTTGGGGGCCCCTGCACCACAGAGCCAGACCCTGCCTGCAGCCCCTTGATACGTGACATATTTGTTCTTATGTTCATTCAGCCAGTTTGTTGGAGATCCACTATATGCCAGGCACTCTTCCTGGCACTAAGGGTAGAGCAGTGAACAAAACAGAAAAGTCCATGTTAGTCGAGGGGATGGCAGACAATCAGCCAGAAAATGAAGTGAACACTCACGATGATGGTGGTAGGGGCTGTCGAGAATGTGAAACCAGGTGACCTGACTGCGGAGGGCTGGCGGGGGGTGGGGAGGGGCCTGCTTTAGATCGATGGTCAGGGAACACCCCTCTGAGGTGGTCTCAGCCAGCCGCGCAATGATTTGGTTGGGCAAGAAGTGTGAAGACCCTCAGGAACGGGTTTGGGCAATTTAAAAGACCCGCCATGGTGGAATTTGGAATGCGAAGCAGAAAACGGTGCAGACACTGAGGCGGTAGGCCCTGTTGGCCACAGGAAGCCGCTCTTATTTTATTGTCGGTATAATGAGGACTCCTTTGGGAAAACCGTTTCCCCAAGTGTTTTCCTTAATGTGGTTATTTCTCGAAAAGGGAGCTCTATGGTTGAATAATTCTGGGAAACACTGAGTTAAACAAAGCAGGGTTCCTTAGAGGCAGGAGAAGGAAAGACCAGGAGAATAAAAACATATTGCCAACTAATATTTATCAGTGCTTACCATGCACCAGGCACTCTGCTAAGTGTGTCTGTAGCATCCCTTCCATTAGTGTCCACAGCAAGCCTGTTAGGGTAATGTTATCCCCAAGATGATGGAAGGTTCAGATGTCAAGTACCTGCTTGAGGTCCCAGGGCTGGTGGTGGCAACCTTGAGACATGACCTCGGGCAGCCTGACATCAGAGCTTGAGCTTTTAATTATCATGTCAGGTTTGGACGTCGAAAGTTTAGAAGTAAGGACATACTCCGATTCACAACAGAACAAAACAAAGCCTCAATGATACTATTCTTTAAATCCGTTGAATGTGGCATCATTTAGAGAGCAGCAAAGTAAAAATGTTCTAGGGAGCCAAGTCCAAAAGGTCTGAGTTCTTCCAACAAGAATTTAATTGTCTTCCTTCTGCTGAGGTTGGAACCACGTTAATGGAGAAACCTGTTTTCATCTCATTTAATAAGTGCTCCAGACACAGGTAGTTAAAAGAGGGAACTGCTAGACTGCCAATGTGAGCAGCTTGTTACTGACTAAAGCAGCACGCTTCAGTTTTGAATTCCCAGGGAACAGCAGATGTGCACTTCCCATCTGGTACAGGCGAATACGCAGACAGCAGGCTTCTGTTTAGTCTCTTGTGTTATATGTTCTGGAGAAACCAGCATGTCAGCCGAGGTGTTCTCTTAGCAACTGCGTCAGTTTGGAGGCGCAAGCTCATACTCATGATAGTTTTTAACTGAGGGCAGACGTGGTAGGCTGTCTGCAAAAATGGCCACGACAGCTTTTCCCATCCTGCTTTCCCTTTGCAACGAGACTTCTCCACTCCTCTCATCAAGAGCTAGCATCCGTTTTCCCTCTCCTTGAATCTGGAAGGACCTGTGACTTGCCTTGACCGATCGAATATGGTGGAAGTGATGCTGTTTGGCTTCCTGGGTAAAGGCTCTAAAAGGTCTTGCAGCTTCCATTTTTGTGCTCTCAGATTGCTGCCTTGAGACCACCGTGCTGTGAGGAAGCTCGAGGGAGTCACATGGACGGGTCATGTGAAGGAGAACCCAGGAGCCCCATCTGACAGCCCTGGCTGTGCCCAGCCTCCAGCTGATCCACCAGCTTAATGCTGCCCCATTTGAGAACCCCAAACTAGACAGTCAGGAGAACCACCAAGCCAACCACAAGAAATAGAGCCATCATGAGAAATCATAAATCATCACTGTTTTTAATCACTAAGTTTTGGGGTGTTACGTAAGAGTAGATAGTGGCGAAAGGAAACTTTTAGGTGACGCCTCTTATTCAGTCATATGAATATTATTATAATAAAAATAGAAATAACAATACTAAGTAATAAGAGCCCACTCTTCGCAAAGAGGGAGAGAGAAGGGTAAATTCTGCTCTGTGATGCTCGTACCCAAAGGGGTGTCTCAGTCAGCCTGGGCTGCCGTCACAGGACACCAGACACTGGGGAACAATAGAAACTTCTTTTCTCACAGTTCTAGAGGCTAGAAGTCCAAGATCAAGTTGCCAATATGGTTGGGCTGGCTCTTCCTGGCTTGTAGGCAGCTGTCTTCTCTCTGTGTCCTCATGTGGTGAGGAGAAAGACACAGAGCAAGCCGGCTGAGGTGTATTCTTGCAGGGGCATTAATCCCATCCAGAGGGCCCTGACCTCACGACCTTATGTAAACCCGGCTGTCTCTCCAAAGCCCGGTCTCCAAATACCGTACTATTTAACTATACGCATTCTGGGGGGACACAATTCAGTCTGTAGCAAGGGGGAAACACCACAGGCGTAAATTTACCAGTAAGCACCACATCAAAATACCTAAGTGGAGCTAATAAGCTTACTGGGTCATTTATTGAAATGTTTCATTGTGGTCAGGCTTCTTTGGGTTGCAAGTGAGAGAGATCCAGTTCAAACGAGCTTAAGCACAAACGGGAATTTTATTGACCGACATACTGGGAAGGATCCTGGAACTGCTCTCAGAAAGAAAAAACTGCAACTAAGGCCTCAGGGTTGGCACCAGGGACAGGGTGCCTCTTTCTTTCCCTTTGGTTCTCCTTGTTTTTTGGCCTCGTTATCTTGTATTAAAGACAATCCTTCTCTGAATCTTAGGAAACATGGCTGCTGGCAATCTCAGCTGAGCAAGTGAGAACAGCTTTGTTCCAATTCCGTACATCAAGTCCAAGAAAATACTCTGGCCTTCTTTGGGTCACCTGACCTCAGTATCTTATTGATCAATATCAGTCTGGCTCTTATCACCATCTGACTAACTACATATTTTTTAATTTTACTGATTTATTTGTTTGTTAACTACTTCCTTCCCCAGTGGAATATAAATTGCAAGGGAGAAGATACTTTATTCATTGCTGTATCTGTATACCTTGGCACAGTAGGTAGCCTGATAAATATTTGTTGAATGAATGAATAAACTCCATGTATTCCAACCCTAGGAGGTAGGTACTTTTTTTTCAATTGTACATGTTTTATTAATTAACCTACTTTTCTTTGATCATAAAGGTTGTTACTTTTATTATCCATATTTCACCAATTAGGAAATGGGGGCTTAAGTTAGAGAATTTATATATGGTCATAGTCCTAGAAATTGGAGAAGCTTGAAATACAGGCCAATGCAACTGGACAAGAGAAAGAAAGAAGAGGTTTTAACACTGCAAAGGTGGAAGAAAGAGTCTAATTATCTGAGTCAGAATGTCTAACTCTAGAGCTTTCAATGATACTATTCATATAATAATAATGATTAAGAACCTTCTCTTACAGAGCTACACAGATAAGAGATCTGCAGTTAAATAACCCATTTGTTTGTCTCCTTTTTCCCAGTGGCCTGATTCCACCAAGAGAAGGCCCACGAGGAAGAAGAGAAAAAGATGCTCTGGTTGCCAGGGCCCGCAATGCCAGCAAAAACAAAGAGGAGAAGACAATCATAAGGAAGCTGTAAGTCACCTTGCTGCCCCCTTGTTGCCACTAAGTAATTGCTGAAGAAAGTAGCGGGGGCAAGGGGGGAGGTCCTGTTCTCCTGGCGGTGGTGCTGCAGCTAATATGAAAACTCAGTGCTGGTGTATTGTATCTGCCAAGCAGTAGTATGAGCGCTTGACATATATTAACTCACCGACTCATCACAGCAGCCCTGTGAGGTAAACGATTGTTATCCCCAGTTTGTAGATGGGGATACAGTTACCGAGAGGTGAAGTAACATACCCAAGGTTCACCAAGATAGTGAAGTCAGGATTTGAACCCAAGGAAGTCCAGATTCCATACTCTACTGCCCTCCTATGATAAAACAATAACCAAATAATAATAATACTACAACAACAAGAAAAACACAATAACAAGAATTATTGGAGTTTAAGGGGTCTAATTCATCACCTCTCTTAACCTGCAACTTTGGAGGGCCCTGTGTCTCCCCCCGTTAGGACACATAATGCAGTTTCCTTTAAACACTCCCCTCTGGTTCGTGCACCATTTTTTTTCCCCTTTCTTTTTTTATTTTTCTTTTTTCTTTCTCTTTTTTCTCTTCTTTTTTTTCTTTTTCTCGCACCATTGTTAATCCCTTGTCTCTGGTTGCTGCGACCCAGACCATAGTGTGTGGGACACTTGTTTAAAATTCAGATTCTCAGAAATCAAGTCACTGGCTCTAGCATGAGGCCCAGAAGACTGGGTTTTTAATAAATTCCCAGACAGTTCTGATGTGGGGAGCTCTTGGACCACACCTTGAGATGCGCCTTTTCTGGCACCAGGTGTCAATACTGTTAGGCACACCTTTCCTCCACCCCATGCTGAAGCAAGCAGCTCTTTTGCCTTGGTTGCTTTGAGAATGTCTGGCCTGGTGACAGTTTATCAGCCCCTGGTCTTGTGGATTAAAAGTGAGAAACCACCTCGGTCAGGGATCTCAAACTCAAAAGCCTACAGGGTCCAAGAACTTAATGTGGATAAGTGACGGGGGTGTGGGTTGGACAGGGGACATCTGCCCCTTGGTTCTGTCTGGCTGAGGGATAACATGTTATCAGAGCTTGTGCTTCTTAAGAGAAGCCAAGACACCAGGTGTGTTCATGGAAACTGATTTCCAAATGCTGGTAAATAATTTAAGCTAAAAAATAAAGACCATGCGATCCAAATGATCCACCGCTACAGGCTGCACTGGGTCCTTGGCTGCTATCAGGCTCTCACTCCGTTAGTCCTGCCTCTGAGGGAGGGCTGCTTGGGGGAGGGCCACGGAGACCTCGCTTTCTTCCATTCATTCAGCCGTTAGTCAGTCAACAAACCCTAGCTGAGTCTGTATTGTGCACCAGGCGTGATACTCGTGCTGGGGATACAGCAGTGACCTGTTCTGCAAGGACTCTGTCGACTCCCATTTCACAGAGAAATCATTTTGAGGAGTTAGAGATTCTGGGTTACCTTCCAGGGCAGGTTTAATGGAGATGCTTTTGTTTCGAGAGAGGGGAGAAATTTTTTTTTTTCTTTTTCTCTTTTTGATCTCAGGAACAGAGGGTTGCGTTAGTGATTCTCAGCTCACGGCACAATGAGCTTCATTGTCAGCACAAGACCCCTTTCTTCTTGGTTTTTATTTATTCCCTCTTCATCCCCATCCCCCGTTCCCATTCTTCTTCCCAGTTCCCCTCCGCCTCGGCCAATCTCACATGGTATTTAACGTGTTCTAAAAAGTGTACGTGGTCTTGTGTGGGTGAATTTTTAATAGTAACTATTACTGTGTTTAACACTTCATTCTGTTTCCTAGTGTTTTTTTCCCATAAGCACTGTGGTGGTTGTCTTTTTTATTAGGAACTCATTTTTAAAAAATTTATTATATTTTACTAATCCAACACATTTAAAATATTAATCATTTCAACATGTGATCAGTATAAAACATTATTAATGAGATATTTTACATTCTTTTTTTTAATAGTAAGCCCTCATAATCTGACATATATTTTACACTGACAGCACATTTCAGTTGAGACTTGCTGTGTTTCGAGGGCTGAAAACCATGTGTAGCCAGTGGCCACCATATCGGATGGCACAGCTTTAGCTGATACGTGGTTGGATCCTTTGGGCTTTGAGAGCTAAGTTCAAATGAGCTCTTTTTTTAAGTTTTTTTTTTAAGTTATACGTAACATAAAATTTACCATTTTCATCATTTTTAAGTGCATAGTTCAGTCACATTACGTACATTTACAATATTGTGCAACCATCACCACTATCCATTTCCAGAACTTTTTCATCATCCTATCCCGAAGCTCTGTCCCCATTAAACACTAACTCCCCAGTCCCTCTCCTCCAGCCCCACCAACTCTGCTTTCTGTCTGTGCGAATCTAACTACTCTAGGGACCTCATGTACGTGATGAGACACGCAGTACTTGACTTTTCACGACTGGCTCATATCATTGGCATAATATCCTCAGGTTCATCTGTGTTGCGCCTTGTGTCAGAATTTCTTTCACTTTTCAGGCGCAGTGATATTCCATGGAATGAACAGACCACATTCTGTTTGTCCATTCATCTGTTGATGGACGTCAAGCAGTTTTTAAGATCTATCCATTTAGCAGTGCAGACATCCCAGGGGCGGGATCCCAGGTTGCCTTCCCCCGCAGCAGGCAGTGCTGCAGTGAATCTGTCCGTGCTTATCCGTGTCGTCTCATGCACCTGCGTGTGACTTTGCCAGGGATATGTACCCAGGAGTGAAAATTGCTGGATCACGGGCTCTGTCAACCAGGGTTCTTGTTTGTCAGGAAACAGAGGCTCACTCAAAGGAGCCACTGGAAAGATTTAAAGAAGGGACTTCTTGAAAGATAAGAGATGGAGAAACACCCTGGGGCTGGCAACAGAGGGGCGAAGGGAGGGAGCTGGGAGGGGGAGGGGGGGAGGTCAGGAGTGTGGCCTTCAGCTGAGGAACACAGAGTAACTGGTAAAGCAAGGCCAGTGGGGACAGAGCTGGGGAGTGAACACCCCCACCGTTCCTCCCACCCACCCAACCCCTGCGGGTGCATCCCATTGGCTGAGCCCAGCCGGAAGCTCGAGGACAAGGGAGCTTGTTGAGATCACCCACAGAAGTCAGCCTCCTGGAGCAGAGAGCAGGTTTGAGAAGAGAAGAGAGAGTTCCTTGGGGGCAAACAGCTCCTGGAGTATGCGTCGACTTAGTTCAGTTAGGCACTACCAGACTTTCTAGAATGGCTGCATGAAAACTGCTCTATCAGACGAGACCACCTGAAACCATTTATTCTTTTGACAAATATTTACTGAGGGCCTCCCGTGTGCCAGGCGCTGGTCTAGGTGCTGGGGATGCAGTGACCGAGACACGAGTTCCTGCCCTCGTGGTGCTTCCATTCTAGCAGGGGAGTCAGAGAGTGAACCGGTAAGAAAATGTACTAACAGGACAATTTCAGATCGCCCTATGTGCTAGGAAGACCATTAAATAGGGTGCTGAGAAAGAGGTTGATAGGGAGCTACTTTTAGATTTGGGGAATCCTGAAAGGCTTCTATGAGAAGGCAGCATTTAAGCTGAACCCTGAAAGATCATAAAGGGAAAAAGCATTCCTGGCAAAGGGAACAGCAGGTGTTAAGGCCAGAGGCTGGGGAGAGCTTGTGGAACAAAGATCATGGTGGCTGGAGCAGCAAAGAGAAGGGAGGTGAGGTGGGAGAGGGGGAGGGATCAGGTCACTCAGCGCCATGTGGATCCCGGTGAGGACTTTGAGTTTCTTTCTTCCCCAAGAAAGAGTCTCCTGAGGTGAGATAATGAATATAAGAGCCTCTCCACCCCATAGATCTGAAGGTGTCAGATCTGAAGGTGTTTATTTGAGATGTTCATTGACTGGCTATCCCATTGCAAACAAGGCTTCCAGAAGCATTAGCTACTGATTTCTTTCTGCCTCTTCTAGGGGAATTCTTTGGGTCACTTAATTGGAGTTTGGACCTGATATGGCAAAAATAAAATGTTTGTTCTGTGTACAAGCCAGCCTGAGGATATATGTTTAAAGAGGCCACAATTTCATGATCAGACAAGCTCATTGAGCTAGTGGAATGAATGAATGAATGAATGACTTTCTGAAGAAGTAGACCATGCGAAGGATTTTTGTCCTTGTCCTGAGGACAGTGTGGAGCCATGGCAGGGTTTAAGCTGAGGAATGTCGGTCGGCTCTGCACAATGACACAACCGTTCTGGCTGCTGCATGAGTAGATTGTAGGGGGTGACGGGGAGGCTGTTGGTGCTCCTCATGGTGGCTTGGACTGAGGGTGGCAGTGAGGGAGACAGGAAGTGGTAGGGTTAGGAACATATTTGGGGCATGATGACTAAAATCCAGCAGATGGGGTGAGGGGAGAGGAGCTGAGAACAACTCCCAGGTTCCCGCTTGAATGACTGGGTGGGGGATGATGTCATTTCCTGAGACAGGGAAGTGGGGTTTGAGGGGCCTATGTGCAGGTTCGGGAGGAGCTCTGACGCCTGCATCCACCCGCGGGTCAGGGGCTCGACTCTGCCGTTGCTAGCAGAGCTGCCAGCGCTGCTGGTCGGGGGGAGGCCTGTTTGCCTTCAACTAGAAGCAAGAGCCTGTATCCCCATCGCTGACTTTTCAGCCCACCGGCCATCTCTGCGTCTTTCCTGTAACTGGAAATAACACTGACATTGTGCGTTGTGACCAACCCCAGGTATCATTTTTCCTTTTCAAAACTGCATGAGGAGGACTGAAAGTTTCGGCGTTTGGTATTCATATGCCTTGAGGGATGTCTTTATGTTTTATC